AAGTTGAGGCCGTGAACAAGACGATCAAGCACGTCTTGAAAAGAAAGCTTGATGTATCAAAAAGGGCCTGGGTTGATAAACTGCCCCAAATCCTTTGGGTGATCCGAACCACCACCAGGACCCCAACAGGAGAAACGCCCTTCCTCATGGCATTTGGAACTGAGGCGATGAGCCCCGTGGAGGTCGGACTTCCATCCCCAAGATGTCTGCACTTCAACGAGATAACTAACGATGAGCTTTGGAGGCTCGACCTCGACTTCATCGAAGAAAGAGAGATGACTCCCAATTGAAGTTCGACACATATCAAAGAAAGATGACAAGGTACTTCAACTCGAAAGTCAAGAAGAGGTCATTCCGAATCAACGACCTTGTACTCAGGAGGGTCTTCCTGTCCTCAAAAGAACCTGGTTCCGGTTCCCTAGGCCCAAATTGGGAAGGTCCATACAAAATCAGAGAAGAAGTTCGACCTGAGACTTACTGGATTGAAGACATGAACGGCAAGGTACAACCCCGTCCATGGAACATTGAACACCTCATAATCTATTACCAATGAATGTACTATTTTGCAGGACAACCTTTCCCAGCCTTTGTAACATTTCTATGGTTCAATAAAATTCAGTGATTAAATTAACGTGTTGCACTACCTCGACACCTCAAAGGAAAGGCTCACATCCCACCTCTGGGCCATCTCGCTTGAACTCGAGGCGCTAGCACATGCCTCCCTTTGGCCAGACAAAATACCAATGGGAGAAGCCTCAACATGGCTGCACCATCCACCATGTCTGGGATACATCGTCACCTCGGAGGAGAGGCTCGCGTCCCACCTCTGGGCCACCTCGCTTGAACTTCGAGACTCTACCACATGCCTCCCTTTGGCCAGACAAAACGTCAAGGGGAGAAGCCTCAACATAGCTGCACCATCCACCATGTCTGGGATGCGTCGTCACCTCGGAGGAGAGGCTCGCGTCCCACCTTTGGGCCACCTCGCTTGAACTCCGAGGCTCTAGCACATGTCTCCCTTTAGCCAGACAAAACGTCGAGGAGAGAAGCCTCAACATGGCTGCACCATCCACCATGTCTGGGATACGTCGTCACCTCGGAGGAGAGGCTCGCGTCCCACCTCTGGGCCACCTCGCTTGAACTCCGAGGCTCTAGCACATGCCTCCCTTTGGCCAGACAAAACGCCAAGGGGAGAAGCCTCAACATGGCTGCACCATCCACCATGTCTAGGATGCGTCGTCACCTCGGAGGAGAGGCTCGTGTCCCACCTCTGGGCTACCTCGCTTGAACTCCGAGGCTCTAGCACATGCCTCCCTTTGGCCAGACAAAACACCAAGGGGAAAAGCCTCAACATGGCTGCATCGTCCACCATGTTTGGGATGCGTCGTCACCTCGGAGGAGAGGCTCACGTCCCACCTCTGGGCCACCTCGCTTGAACTCCAAGGCGCTAGCACGTGCCTCCCTTTGCCAGACAAAATGCCAAGAGGAAAGCCTCAACATGGTTGCACCATCCACCATGTCTGGGATACGTCATCACCTCGGAGAGAGGCTCGCCTTGTCCACCTCGCTTGAACTCCGAAGCGCTAACACAGGCTGAACGCCAATGAGAGAAGCCACCTCACACACATTGAGGCTCACTTAGGTCCGAGGCTCATTCAGTGTTCATTCGCTTAAATCCAAGGCTCATTCAGTTGTTCATTCGCTTAAATTCAAGGCTCATACAAATATTATGCTTAAGTAAAGTTCATTTGCTTAAGTCCGATGTTCGTACAGTCGTACAATCTAGTTGTTTAAAGTAATTGAAGTTAAGGTACCAAGTTAGAGTTATTTAGCTGGTGCTTCTGTCAACCTTTAAGTTCATTTGCTTAACGAGGTGCGTACACTTTGATAAAGAAACAACAAAGAATGAAATAGGCATTATACTGATCATTAAAAAGGATTACAAAAGTAAGCCTCATGCCATTACATTCGAAAAAAACTGAAAAGAAAACTAATCTAAGCTTGGGTAGATGGGGGAGGAGCTTCTGTACTTGGGGTTTCGACAGCTTAAGCATCGGCATTTGTCTTCCCTACCTCAGCTGCTTCATTACCCTGCACTTCCTCAGCAGGGGTCTGAGGTACCTCATCCACGAATTCAGACCTGAGTTAAGTCAGATCCAAATTGGGATACAGTTCCTCTGCCGCTCCATCACCTCAGCATAGGCAAAGTTTCTTCAGTAAGCACTTAAGCTCTTATACTCTTCTGTGTTATGGAAGTTGGCAGTGTACTCTCGCACCGCCTCTTCCCTCGCCTGTTGAACCTCCTCTCTGGCATGGGATGCATCATCCACATACCACTTGATTTGGGTTTCCAAGAAATGGTAAGCTTCTTGGGCACCCATCAAAGAGAGATTTGCCTTTTCCAGGGCCACGGCGGTCAACTTCTGGTGCTCATTGGAAACCTCCACCTTCTTTGTAAGGGAGGCCACCTTGCACTGTGACTCATGGACTTCCTTCTTCAAGGCCTCAATCTGGGTTAAGACAGACTCAAGCTTGGCCATTTCTTCAAGTTTTTGGGCCCTGACTTCTTCTGCCTCGGCTCTAGCTGCCTTCAATTCCTCTGCAAGGGAAGCCGTCTTCTCCTCTGAAGACTGGGTCCTTGTCTGAAAATCACTCAGGACCTCCCTGTATTCAAGAGTGAGGCCAAAAGTTCTGATGCTTTGGCTCACCAAAGCCCTCGTCAGGTCGGTGGCATCGCAGGAGGAGGCATGCAGCTGCCACCTGTCCGTCCAAAATCGATAAAAGTTCTTTGTGGTGCTTCAGACCTCCTGGGGAAGAGCCTCCACCAAGGCTGGGGCCAAGGTCTCCTCCCTTCCAGCTAGGAAACTTGGAGACTTCCCCTTTTCCCGAACAAGCTTTTGTTTAGCTGCCTCCTCCTCGACAGCCTCAGTAGCCCTCCTCGCAACCTCCTCAGCCTCAGCCTCTCTGACCATTTCTAACTTGATGGCTTTGGAGGTGGATGCGAGCAGCTTTGGCTCACCTGTTGATTTGGCCTCGTGGGACACTGATGTCCTAAATTTCCCGGACGAGCTAGTAACGTGCACCAGCTTCCTCCTCTTCGCCTCCTCTGGGACCTTTTCTTTCCCCCGAGGCTCTTTTGGCCTCTCTTGCCTTTGGGAAGCTCCCTCTTCAGAAGCCTTTGGAGTACTATCCTTGGAAAGGCGTTCCACCCTACCTCGGACCTCCTTAGCCCCACTAGACCCCGGCTTCAAGGCCCTAGCTTTGACGGTGGTGGTGGCCTTCAGAATTGTAGCCATGTCTGGAGCTGGGTACTCCTTCCTCTTGAATTTATCTGCATAAGAACGTCAGGTAGCACATCAGTATCCAATCAAAAGGACAAGGAAATTTACAACTATGGGAGCCTCATACCTCTGGATGCCATCAGTCCAAAATCCAGGAAGTAGCGACTCCTGTCAATCAGATGGTCAAAGTGGCGGAGCTTCAGAGGCCTCTTGTAGATGTCATCTATCACCTCAAACTCTTCTCTGCTGAGCTCGAACCTCGTACTACAATCTGCAATGGAAGCCCCAACAGTTAGAAATTTTCTAAGTGTTCAATTCAGAAGTACAAGCAGGGGCTGGGAGACTCACGAGCTTCGTAGTACTGGGTCGGCACTGTGCAAGAAAGGGTCTTGTCCCCCTCCACTGCCTGTCATTTTCCCCGCACCCAGAACTCCTTCCACCCCTTAATGGAGGAAGGCAGTCCCACCACAAAGGGTGCGTGAGCCCCCCAATGTGTAAGGTAATACCACCCCCTGGACTCCTTCCCTATGATCCGGGGCTAAAAAAGGGTCATGAATATATGGAGAGGCATGTCATCCCCAAGTGACACCTCCTTCCACAGGAAGTACGAGCCGACCAACTGGCTCCACCCATTTGGCAGAACCTGGGTCGATGACAACACTACCCTAAAGAAGGGGTGCAGAGGAAGACGCATACCTGCCTTAAACAAGTATTCACTGAATGCCACGCATCCGAGCCTCGAATAGCAGGCACGCTTATTTGGCTCAGGTACTAGCATTTCTATGGTGTGGGGGACACTGTATCTCTCCCTGATCTCCCCTAACCTTTTCCACATCATACTTAAGGGCACCCTAGACGCCCCCCACTTTTCAGTATAATCTACTAGGTCCTCGGTCATGGCATAAGTATCAGCCTCAGCATCCCCCCTCTGACTGACCCCATAGTCTAACGACGCTACGGTCACCAGCTCTCTACCCGAGGTGGACTCCATTTCACAAAATTAACACAACAAAAAGGGCTTTTCTGCGAATAATACCTAAGGGAAGAACACTATGCGAACGGAGACAGGCTGAAAAATCAAAGAACAGGCAGCCTTTACGTCGGAAAGTTCGAGATTTTGAGAGAGAATCAAATTGCAAATGTTCAAAAGTCCTAAAAAATGGGATTCTCTTACCTTTTATAGAGGTCCAGGACGAACCCCAGCCGTCAGATCGAATCTGAGTCAATCTGAGCCGTCCCTTGTAGAATAAATTCGAGGCGTTGAATTCAAACGGTTTTTCAAACCTACGCCTCAGATTCAAGCGTGCCTCCCACGCACCTCATCCTGCGCGTCTGCTTCTAGAACCTCTAGCTGTCCTCATAATTGTGTTTTTAATTCGACGGCAGCAGGCGCCTTGGAAGTCGTACGTGTCAGCCACTTTTCCTCGAAAACAAACATAAAACATCAAATCATTGGCACAACTATCGACGCCCAATCATTCCCATCGAACCTCGGCTTCAACTTCAACATTCAGCCTACAAGCCTCGCAGGTTCGGTTTCCCAACCACCTCAGCTTCCACCTCAACACAGCCTCGGTCTCTTCATCATTTGCTTACAGCAGCACATCTCAAACTCCAACCATGACATAAATATCTATACTTGGACTTGGGGGACTATTGTTGCGTATTGTCATACTTGGCCAACCTACCTGGGCCAATGGCTCACTCAAGCCGAACCACATGGCACTCCAGCCGATGCGGTATATATTGCTGAGGTGGGCTATGGCCGAAGGCCTTAAATCCGAGGCATGCCCTTTCACCGAGGCCTGTGATCGTAACCGAGGTCCACATGCTGAGGCCTATGGGCCGACGCCATGATGCGGAAGCTGGTTGAAATTAGCTGAAGCCCTCAAGTGGAAGTATTGTATGAAATGGCCGAAGCCCCGAAGCTGATGCAGGAGCCTCCAAACCACATGGGAGCGTCCTCCATGGTCACTTCTCCCAAGAGATCGTCTACACAAAGATTTTATTCGAATGATTGATGGAACGTTTGTCATAAGCATAAAGGTCAAATCTTGTCACTAGCATGGAGGCTCTGCACAAGCAATAAATGCGCAGCAATCTAGCAAGTCAAGCCCCCTGCCTAAGATAAGATGTTTGAATCAAACATGGCCACGTACCACCTCATCCAAGGGCTCCCATTTCACATGTATCACTATAAATACTTCCCTTGTGTAACATCAAAGGACTAATGCAAGAATC